TTCGAGTCCCGATGTAGCGATATTGGCTTCCGTTCCGATCTCCCACGTCTGAAGTACTGCGGAGGCCAGTTCTGCTTGTTCCCGTGCCAGGGTGAGCGCGAGCCTCGCCGTCAGGTCGACCATCTGCTGCTGCTGGCCCGCTGCTGGTCCCGCTGGGCCGCGCTGTTGTCCCGCCCCTCCGCGTCCACGGCTGCGGTCTGGGCGAGCTCCCTGTGCGCGTAGCGGCTGTCCGCCATTCGGCCTCTGGTCGAAAAGAGACATCCTTTGTTGGCTGAAGTAGTTGTCGAGGAAGGCGTGTGCAAAGGTGGCGGTAGCAGCTATGCTTATCTAAGGAAAAATGACTACAGATCGGACATTGAGGTTCGTGTGGGGCCGCTTCGTACTGGTTCTTCGTCGTGTCTCGGCTGCAGCCCCCTCGAATCATACTTCGTGCTAGGTGTTTCCAGGCCGTTCCTTTGCTGGTGAATACCTGCCCACAATTGATGCACTCGTTGTTGCTGGTAAGAATTGCCGCTAAGTTATGAACATGGTGTGCTCGTATGATATTGCTGTGTAACGCTTTCTCGCTTGCAAATAACATTCCACATACGTCTCGTTCGTCAAGAAGTTCGCATTTCCAAATATGTTTCTCGTCTAAGGCTATGTTCTCTCGTTGTTCGTCGTCGTGATCTTGCTGTACTGGGGGTACTGCTACTGCTAGTTTGGCTGCTCGTATTTCCTTGGGGTCCAGGCTCCAAAGTTGTTCTCGGATATCTAGCGTGAAGAGCTTGCCTATCGTTATGTCCTCGCTCCGCCCTAAGATGTCCTGGAAATTCTCTGAGACCTCGCAGGCATACTTAATGTCCTCCAGAAACCTCTGAGCCCATGGATTCGTGTCGCTCTGGATCGCGTCGGTGGTCGTTTCGGTGTTCGTCTCGAAGTCGACTCGGCCGAAGAGCGCAACGATCAGCTGTTTGTTGTTAGCAGGGAAGCGCAGAATAGTTTTTAGCCAGCTGACTCGTCGTATCAGTGCCTCTTCTGCCGGCGGCAATATTTGCCAATGGCGGAAGACCTCCAAGGTGCTCATGCTCCGCACGGTGCCGTCCTCGCGGTACGTCGTGGCTCTGCCTCGCATGGCCTTACGTAGTAGTGCTCCCATCGCACTCTGGAGTTGTCTGTACTCTGTCGTGGTCGGGAGGAAGCACTCGATGCACGAGAGGCCTGTGTTGATCACTCGGCAAAGTAGTACTGCTCGCTTCCAACGGTATGGGATGTTGGCCTTGCTCCAGAACGCTCCGCACTCGTAATAGCTCTTCTTCATGGCTGCGATGCGCTTGATGAGTTCCGCTCCGTAGTTCTGGTGAGGGCTGACTTGCGGTCCGAGATAACGGGCGTGTGGAAGTACTTTACCTGGCATCTTGGCGCCTGTGTTGTTCTTGATGTCACGGTGCGCCTTCTTCGAACCGTGGCCCTGGAAGTTGATGATGGTCTCCTGCGTGTCCTGGTTCTGCCGCATCCCGATCTCTGTGAGCCTGGTGCTCAGCATGTTGTCCACCTGGTGGGCCTGATTCACGATGTCGTGCGCGTCTGCCCGCTGAGTAATGATAAGCTTGCGTAAGTCATCTGCGTACTTCGTGAGGCCGAGGTATACTGGATACTGGAAAAGCTCGCTGTTCCCATACAGAAGATGATCATGTGGGAGTTGAGCCTTGCAATCTCGTACCCATTGTTGTACACTAGGCGCAAAGCTGGCGACGAAGTTCTGCACCATGTAGGGGTCGCCGATTAAGCCTCCGCAGTGCGGTTTGATACAGACTCCGTGTTGTTCGTCTCGGCATGGTATGTTGAACGTCGCTCTCTGATATCTTTGTTTGCCTATCTCTTCCATGTCGTCTGGCATGATCTTGCGGTTGGCTTCATCCATCTCGTGCCACGAGCAGCTCGCGAAAGCGTTGGACATGTCCTTCATCGAGGAAGCGAAGTTCCAGCCTGCTTGTCTGGCTCGATATTCCACTATAGCCATCGTGAGAATTGCTCCTTCTCGTCTTCGTCCTCTGCTAAATCCGTAGTCCTGATCCGTATGCGTTCTAGTTTTTTTTCTCTTCAGGCAGCCCGAGTAGTACGCCTTGCCGATGGGGTCCATGATGTGGTAAATTCTCTTGCCCGCGGGGCCAGGCTTTTGGTTCTTCTTAACGGCGGTGGCTGCGCTCTGGTGCCATCGGACTGGAGTTGCGTTGCCAATTCTGATCGCCGCCAGTGATGCTCGAAATAGTTCCGTGAACAAGTCGGGTTGTCGATCTGCACGTGGTGCCCCGAGTCCTTGGCGTTCTTGCCGTTCTGGGTTGGGTGGGCAAAGAATGAGTCGCCACAGTTCCGACGGTGCCGAAGTAGGGGGTGCCGCTCGGCGTAGCTTCGCTTTCTTGATGCTCTTGGTGGTGTACTCGAAATCCTCGTCGACCTTCTCCTCTAAGTCGTTCTCGTAGTAGTCCTGCTGCTCGGTGGGGCTAGGGATCTGGTCGAGCGTGTGGATGTCCTGTTCCGTGCCCTCCATGCCTCCCATGCCGCCGGGTAGCTTCCAGAAGTCGAGCCACTCCTGCTTGCTCGGGTTCGCGGTCACGCTGGTCCAGTAGTCACGTTTTCTTGGGCCGTATCGTCCCCCTGCGATCAGTCTGGATAATCGGCCTACTCGTGCAAGGTCTCGTTGCTTCCACGCCTCGTACAGCTCCTCGACCCTCGCGTCCGTTCTGACCTGGTGCTCCTGCTTGCGGAGTCTGGCGCAATGGTTCGTGATGTGTCGTAACTCCACTTCCAGTGCATGTAGTTCTTGTTCGTATTCTGCATGTTGGCGTTCCGCTGTGTCGTCGTATGGGTTGTCAGGTTGTAGGGCTTGAAGAAGTTCGTGCGGGGTGTCGTAGTTAATCTCGGAGTCGACGATGCGTAAAATATTCCCGCAGTCCCGTAGTGCTTGTCGTAAATCTCGGCGTCGTCGTAGTAGCGCCAGTCGTCGGTCTCGGAGTGCGGCGTATTATGGATCTTCTCTGCGTTGTGTCTGTCCGTAGTATGGCTTGGCCGCGTCGATGATCATTCGGTTGATGTCTTGGAATAGCTGGTCGATGCCTTTGCCCTCTGCGTCGTAGTTTTCGACCTTAGTCTCCAGATCTTTGATGAACTCGTCTCGATTGTGTCCTTTGTGTACTGCCTGTGCCAGTAGATCCTTGTCCCAGCGAGTCTGCGGCGTAGTCTGGCGTACTCGGTGTCGTAGCGGTATGCGTAGTGTAGTTTGAACTGGAACGTGGTCCCGATGAAATCGACTCGGTATGTGCTGGAGTCGTGTGCCCATCCTAAGGAGGGGGCCTTGGCTGATCATGCTGCCGATAAGGTCCTGGGGCGCCATGATGTAGTCGATGCAGCTGGCGTGCTTCTATCCGAAGTAGGTTGGCCTCCAGCTGCTGGTAGTATTCGTCAGTGTCAAGCGGTGGCGTTCCGCATATTGTCTGGCTTTCTGTCCTGCGCCTCCTGGTAATCGTTCACGCGCGCGCCCAGGTCCCAGGGCATCTGAGATCGGGTGCTCGTTCTGCGGGGTGATGCCGACTCCGTCGTTGAGGTCGCCCGCCGTGAGGAGGATGTTGCTTCTCGGTCTGGTTTTGGCCATTTCGTCCATCCACTTGAACAGTCTGGCCACCGTCGCGTAGTACTGCTTGCGCTCCACGGTCTTCTTGGGCTGCGGTGGGCAGTAGTAGCCAATGAGGAACAGGTCTGTATCGTGATGTCGCAGGTGTAGTGCAAGTCCTCTGCCGCGAAGTTCGCTTGGCGGTTCATGAATTCCGAGTATCTGTGCCCCTCGTAGTTTGCCCTGTACAGCGATGATAATGCCCGTGCTGCGGTTGGTGAGGGCGCCGGGCTGCCATCCAGCGTCGATCACCCGTGTGTTGTTATATCTGCGTTGTTCGGGGTGTGCTTCTCGTCGGAGTCTCTGGGTACCTGTAAGGATGATCACGTCGGAGTTGCGGGCCTCCTCGTAAATCTCTCGTTATCGGTCGGGCGGCGCCGTCAGCGGATTGAAAAGCAACAGAGCGAAGGAGGCCGTCCATGCCGTCGCCATGCGGGCCTCCGCCCAGCTATGTGTGTCGCCACATACAGTGTAATAGCTGTGTGAGGTCCTGTGGCTGCCCTGACAATCTCTTAGGCCCAGATGGCAGCTGGAAGAGGAAGGAGGAAGAGGAGGAGGAGGAGGAGGAGGAGGAGGAGGAGAAGTCGGAAGTTCAGAAGTCCGGCCCGCCCCTTCTCACTGCCCCCCCCGGGCTCGCCGCCGAGAAACGGGACCGGAAGACATGTCGACGACGACGGACCGCAGATCGTGCCCAGGGCGTCAAGCAAAAGCTGGGGCTCCCGCCCGCACCGTCGTCGTCGCCTGCACGCTTCTCGTCTCCTCTCCTCCTCTCAGTGCGCCACGGACGACATGAGTAGAGAAAGAACGGGAAAAAACAGCACCGACAGCAGCTCCTGCCCATTCTGAGCAGGACTCGCTGTCGACGAGGCCGCGGACGCTACCCGCGTGAGACCGGAAGGCGCCCGCGCAGCAGCGGCCGCTGTCGGGGGTGGATCACAGCAGCTGTGGGGCATCGTAGTGCCCGTGTTTGCCATAGAGTGGAGATCCATGCCGAGAAACACCCTGCTCGCCTCCAGGGTGCCCTGGGTCTCTTGGGCTTCGATGGTTTTGCTGTGGATAGGGCGTGGCGCTCCCCCACCAAGAGGCAATGCACGTCCTGGGGTCTCAGGGTGGGGTTTCTCGTGGAAGGGTTCCTGTGGACTGGCCTCCAGCGTACCCAGAACCCAGAAGGGCGCCCTCGTGGGCGCGAAGGTTTTCGCGCTTCGCGGTTCGGCTCCGATCTCTCCTCATCCTCCTCTTCTCCCCTGGGAGGCGGCGCGAGAGCGCGAACTTATTCGCACTTCGCGCTTCGCGCAGCGCGAAGCGCCAAGTTGGGAGCCTTTGGTACCCGTTTCGGATGGCCAAATGCCAGGGTCATGCAGGACAGGGACGGCAACAACGTGGCCGAAGTGCTGACCGAGGCGCTCGAGGCGCCGCCCTCTGTGCCGACGATCGCGGGCGGGACACGCGAGGACGGACAAACGGCGGGGTCGACTGGGCGGACATTCGCGCGCAAGCTTCATGCGTAAGGTCGTGCGTAGGCGCGCCCTCTTCTCCAGGAGAGTGTCCTCTGTTTACCCTCGGGGCCATGACGCGCGTTGTGCCCCCTACCGCCCTCCCCCCCCTCTTCTCCCCCCCCCCCAGAACGTAACGCTTCCCCACTCAGTGCGTTCCCAGTACTGCCGCAGCGCGTCCGGCCCCACTGTCGGGGGGGAGGGGCGTTGCGTAATGCCCCCCTCCCGTCCCCCTCCCCCCGCCAATGACGCCCTTTCTGGCTGCGGATCGTTCAGCAATGCGCTCCACGTCGCGCGGCGTACCGCGCTGGCTGCCCGCGCAAGCCGTGGTGTACGGTCTCCGCGTCTTCTCGCGTGCGGCCCGTGCCTCTCTGTGTGCACGTGGGCGCCGGCCGACATCTCGGCCGACTGCAACCGACTGAACCGCAAGCGGCGCCGATGATGGGCCTGTTTTCCACCACCACCACCATAAGCTGGAGGGGGAGGGTGTCCTCCTCCTCCTCCTCCTCCTCCTTCTCCTCCTCCTCCCCCTCCTCCCCCTCCTCCTCCTCCTCCTCCTCCTCCTCCTCCTCCTCCTCCTCCTCCTCCTCCTCCTCCTCCTCCTCCTCCTCCTCCTCCTCCTCCTCCTCCTCCCCCTCCAACTTATGGCAGGGGTGGGTAAAAACTGGCCCATCACCCAAGCCCTTGGGTTCCCCGCCTCTCGCCCCCCGCGAGCAGCGCCGACGTCGGGAGCCGGCGTCCCCTGCGCACGGGGGCCGGTCCTCAGGTTCAAGCAGTGGCGAAGCATCCTGGTTCGCCTCTAGGCCTACCAAACCATGTTCTCAGAGCCCTTTTGTGGTTTCCACGAAGTGTTATTCGAACATGCTTGGCCGAAGGCCGCGAAGGCCCCGAAAGGCCGCCGGAGGGCGGCGAAAGGCCACTTATAGAGGCCGCGGGTAGCACACTGCAGGCCGCTCAAGGCAACGGAGAGCTACGAAGCCGAGGCGGCATGTGTCAGACTAAGTCGGGCCTGTCCCTCTACAGGAGGAGTATTCGAGAATAGTCAACAAAAAACGTCTGGGGACGACTTGGGTTTAATTTTATTTTTTATATGTTTTTAAGTGAACATTGTCTTTATTTTTGTTTACGCTTGTCGCCCAGAGTCGGCCTGTAGGGGGACATGCCCGACCTGACGCTAGAATGAGCTTCCAGACGATCCAGACAGATGGCCCTCGGCGCAGCCTCGCGCCAGCGGCGGGGGCGGCGGGCGCAGGCAGAGGGCCGGCGGAGGGGCGCCCGAGTGCGGCTCGGTGCGCGGGGCGAGCGCTCGGCGGAGGCTCGGCGGCGGCTCGGCGGGCGGCTCGGCGGGCGGCAGCGAGCGCGAGGCTTCGGCCACGCGCCGCGCCGACGGCTCGGGCGCGCGGCCCTGTGGGTCCTCGGGGAGGGCGCCGCGGCCACCAGGGCCGACGCTGCCTCGGCTGCGGTGGGCCTTGCCGCGGGGGCTGCCGCCGCGGGTGCGGGCTGCGTCCGCCTGGGCGCGGGAGGCGCAGGGGTTGCCTGGTGGGTTTGCCGTGGTGGCGGGGGCGGCAAAGGGAGGGGTGATGACTAGGCCAGGGGGGGGGGGATATCTTGGCGTGGGCCATGATATTGCCTACAGGTTTCATGGCGCCTCTTCTTATTTCATCACGTTACTGGCCCCCCCTTGGGCCGGCCCCGCACATGCCGCCAGCCATGATTTGCACACCCCCGTCTTGGCCGCCCCCGATGGTGTCGGCTACGTCCACTCGCGGGCGCGTTCAGGACAAGCGGCGCGGCGGCACAGACCGTCGAGACGCCGACGTGAGAGGCACCTTGGGCCCAGAGGAGGGGCCCTGGTTTTACTCCTCCTCCTCCCCCTCCCCCCTCCTCCTCCTCCTCCTCCTCCTCCTCCTCCTCCTCCTCCTCTTCCTCCTCCTCCCCCTCCTCCTCCTCCTCTTCCTCCTCCTCCTCCCTCCTCCTCCTCCTCCTCCTCCTCCTCCTCCTCCTCCTCCTCCTCCTCCTCCTCCTCCTCCTCCGCCTCCTCCTCCTCCTCCTCCTCCTCCTCCTCTCCGCCCCTGCCCCGAGGGGGGCCCTCCCGTAGGGGAGGGGTCGGGACCCCAGGGTCCTCCTGGCGCAGGCGGGGAGCGCCGGGCCCGAGGGGCGAAAATCCCCCGCACCCCGGGGGACGCCGCCAAAGTGCGGTTTCCTTCCCCCGGGGGGGTCGCCAGGCCCCGTGTGCTTCCCCAGGGCGGTGCTGGGTCCCCCCCAGCGCTCGCCGCCCTGGGGCGGGGCTGGCGGCTCGTCTCCGTCGTGTCGCTCGTCCGTCTCGTGTCGTTCGTGTCGCGTCGTTCGTTTCGTCCCCCTGTCGTGTCGCGTCGTGTCGTGGTCCCGGGGCCGTAAAACGCGGCCACCCATGGAGTGGGTGGTGGGTAGGGTTGGCGCTGAGCACGGCTCGCGCCCCCTACCCCGACCAGGGAGCGCGGAGCACGGTCTCCCAGCGCTCCCTGGTCGCGCTTAGGTCGCGCCACGGGGGCATGGCCCCGACGGTGGCGCGGCCTGCGCCCTTTTTGGTGCATCTCGCTGGCACTCGCCACGCCAGCGGAGTCATGTGGCTGTTCATGGGTCGACCATAAAAAATCCTCCTCCGCCTCCTCCTCCTCCTCCCCCCCTCCTCAGGTCTGGGTCGGGGGATCTGCTCGCTGCCGCCGTGGCAGGAGGAGCCCGCTCGCGCCTCCTTCCGCGTGCAGCATGGCAGCACGATTGCTATACAGTGCGCAGGCCTTGCGGATGGTGCCGCCGACCCTGAGAACGACGAGGATGAAAGCGAGCGGGGGGGGGTAGGAGGCGGAGGAGGAGGAGGAGGAGGAGGAGGAGGAGGAGGAGGAGGAGGAGGAGGAGGAGGAGGAGGAGGAGGAGGAGTGGGGAGGGTGGGGGGGGGCACAGGAAAGGCGGAGGAGGCGGATGAGGGAAGGAGGAGGGGGGAAGATGATGATGATGCTGATGATGAATGATGATGATGATGATGATGAGGAGGAGGAGGAGGAGGAGGAGGGAGGGGAGGAGGAGGGGAGGAGGAGGAGGAGGAGGAGGAGGAGGAGGAGGAGGAGGAGGAGGAGGAGGAGGAGAATGAGGAGGAGGAGGAGGAGGAGGCAGAGGAGGAGGAGGAGGAGGGGGAGCAGGGGGGGGCAATTTATATATTGGGAGTCTGGGTTGCTGGAGCGGGTCACGTAATCCATGTGTCCACGGCCTCGCGGTGCGGTGTTCGGGCTCCTCGGCCTCGGCCCCCCGGATATGCAGGTCTGCCCCTCTGCGCGGATGCCCCCCTGGGCGGGGCCGCTCCATACCGCGTGCTGTCATGCGGTCGCGCCTCGGTAACCAGATCGTGAGTAATCGATTACACCAGGTTGAAAAAAACCCAATCAGTGGATGGTTTGAAATGAATCGTGGGATCGGTAAAGAGATCGATAAGGAGATCGACCGGGAACCCGGGAACCCGGAACCCACCGACAACGGCCCGGAACCAATAAACAGGAACCCGGGAACCTGGAACCGGGAACCCGGGAACCCAGTTGGCTAGCAAAATCGGCGGGACGTGTTCGCCAAATCTTTCAATTTCCGCTAGGACCCCTTCAGTGCAAGCACTGATTGGGGAACATGTTCGTCGTTCGTGGGACGAGGGGACCGCATGGCGTGTCAGCCAAGGTCGGCCTGGCTGCTTGGGATCGAGCGTCAGCTCCTGCCCCCAGAACCCCTGGCCAGCGCCGAGCAGGTGAGGACGAGGGGGGGGGGAGGAGGAGAAGGGTCAGGAGGGAAAGAAACACACAGACACAATGAATCGGCGACTCCCCAGAAAATATAGGAAAATATGGGAAGTGGGGGGGAAGACAAAACCCCAGAAAATGTATGAAAATATGGGGAATCTTTTTATATTTGTGTGTTTTTATTTGTGTGTCCCAGGGCCCCTTCAAAGGGGGAGGATCAGGAGGGTCGGGAGAGGGAGCCCGCGAGACAAGACGGCGGGCACGCCCCGGGACACGAGTGGGGGCGCGGAGGTGCCGCCGCAGGGACGGGGAGGGTGGCGGTGTCCGGTTGGCTCGAACGCAGCCTCGAAGAGCACCGTCTCGATCTCAGCTCGACCCGCGGCCGGCCGAAACCTCAGCAGGGGCACGAAGGGGCACCTGAAAACGACGCGAAGGTCGGGCCCAAAGGCGGATCGGGAGAACTCGAAATCTCTGAGGATCGGCGGGTTTGGGGGATGTAGTGGGCGCCGCGGCCGCTCCAGAGCAGTCCGACTGTCCGGAACGCTCTGAGAGCGCTCCGGAACGCTCTGGAGCGATTTATCCCGATCCTAGCCCTGTTTTACACCTCCCTCAGGGCAGCGGCGACCTGTCGGAGTCGGGACGCTTCTGAGATTGCCAGAGCGTTGGCCGTCTCCGGCGAGACCGAGCGAGGCGCATCCGCAATTGAACACCGCGACTCCTGCGGGGCTGCACCAGCGGCGGCCGCTCTGACCACTCGGGCGTGAGCGAAATCGGAGAGGAATCGAGAGAAAGAGAGACCGATACCGCCACCCCTCCTCCTCTCTCCCCCGCCTTCGCATTATTGGAGACCTCGCGCGGAGCGGTGGGTCGCAACGGGAGGCAGCTCTCGCGACGAAAGCTGTCGGCCCCAAAAACAACATTTCGGTCCAAGAGCCTCGATCGATCGATCCCTCCGTCTCCAAAGATCCAGCGGTTCGACCTGTTTGATGCGTCTGCCCGAGGGGCCTGCATTTTCTGCATCTTCAAGAGTCGTCCTGTTCACTTGGCGGCTCCGAAGCCCGCAGCCAGTTTCACGAGGCCAGAGGCCAGACACGCTGGTCGCAAACACCACGCGTTCACCACGGACCGTGTGCTGGCGCTGCGGTGCTGCCGAGTCGCCCGCCTCGGGACCAGGTCTCTGAGCCGCCCTAGCTCGCTCGCTCCGCTGCGTCGAAGAAGGGAGTTGGGATCAGTGGGTTGGGTGGGCATTCCGGTCGGGGCCGCGTGAACGTTCAGTCGTCGTGGCCAGATCTGCTCTTCTCTCAGCACGTGGTGCGGTGCCCCCCTCTTCATCGCACCCGGCCCTCCCTTCGGCCTGCCCAGCCACCTTTTTTCCCCCCCCTGTTGGGCGCTCGGGGAGGCGGAGGAGGAGGAGGAGGAGGAGGAGGAGGAGGAGGAGGAGGAGGAGGAGGAGAAGATGAGGAAGGAGGAGGAGGAGGAGGAGGAGGGAGGAGGAGGGCAAAAATGGTGGCGGACGGGCAGTGCAGGAGCGGCGCCCACCAGGGGGGCTCCGCAGCTGCGCCGCTGGCCCAAGAGGTGGGCGAGATGCACGTCTGCCTGGCCCCCCGTGAACGAACGCCTCCGCCTCCTCCTCCTCCCCTCCTCCTCCTCCTCCTCCTCTCTCCTCCTCCTCCTCCTCCTCCTCTCCTCCTCCTCCTCCTCCCCCGGTGCCCCCCCTGTGCACCCGGAGGCCTCGGAGTCGTGGAGGTTTCGCTCCCGGGTCACGCTCTCGGCGGAGCCGAAGCTCGCCGGAGAGGCCACGCTGCGCCGTCGCCGTCGTCGCCGTGGTCGTCGCCGTCGACGTCGTCGTCGACGTCGTCGTGCGGATGGTCGTGGTCGTCGTCGTCGCCGTTGTCGTCGGAGTCGGCGTCCACTGACCCAGGGTCGAGGGCCGAGGTTTTGGTGCGTCGTTTCGAAGGGTTTGTGGGCCTCCTGCGGGCCCCTTCTCGCCGCCGTCCTCGCGGTGGCAGTGGTCACCGCAGAGTGATGGAAGGCCGAGGGTCGAGATGTTGACATGGCGTTGCTGGGGCCCCATGTCGAAGAAGAAGCAATCACATAAACATAAACTTTCGGCGCTCCGTGCGTTTTTTTTGGATTCGCGCTGGAGCCCCCTCCCGAGCGCGCGGAGCGCGCGGGGGGCCCACGTCGCCACGACCAGATCCGCCTCGTCGATTGACCGAGGGTGGGGCGTCCATGTGTGGGGCACTCCTCCTCCTTCTCCTCCGACATCTTCCTCCTCCTCCTCCTCCTCCTCCTCTTCCACCTCCTCCTCCTCCTCCTGCTCCTCCTCCTCCTGCTCCTCCTCCTCCGCCTCCTCCGTCGCCTCCTCCTGCTTCTCCATCTCCTCCTCCTCCTCCTCCTCCTCCTCCTCCTCCTCCTCTTCCTCCACTTTCTCCTCCTCCTCCTCCTCTTCAGATACAGACATTCACGGAAATCCGACATCTTCCTCTTCCTCCTCTTCCTACTCCTCCTCCTCTTTCACTTTCTCCTCCTGCTCCTCCGCCTCCTCCTCCGCCTCCTCCTCCTCCATATCCTCCTCCTCCATCTTCTCCTCCTCCATCTCCTTCTGCACCTCCTCCTCCTCCTAACACGCTCCCGTCTCGAGTCCCCTCCCCAGTGCTTATCAGCAATGGTGTGCACGTCGCGAGGCGCCCCGGCGAAAGACGAGCGCACCGTGGGCCCGCAGATCACGCGGGAGCTCCGCGTCAGGAGAAGCGTCCTTCCATTCCTCGCGCCATGATGGGTGCGGCGCGGGTGCGTCGGAAAGTTCGGGACGGTGTCCAGTGGCAACCCCGCAACGAAAAGGACCCCCCTCCATCCATGCATCCGTTTTTCACTGCGCGAGACGCCTTCCTGGAGATGCGAACGAATCATGGGCCCACAGTTCGGGCGGGAGTTCCGTTCACACCTATTTATATATATATATATATATATATATATGTGTAGAGAAGTACGTATACAAATGCACTTTATACACTTATCACTCTAGGCTTTTATATATATATATATACATATGTAATAATTATACATATGTATATATATACAGATATGGACATTCATTTTATGTATACATATATGTACTGTAATTCGGTATACATGTATCAGTTGCCCTCGATCCTTCGAGTTACGAGGAGTGCGACCGCGTGGCGCCCCCAGCGCCAGGCCGCCCCGCTCTGAGAGGGACCCGCCCTCCATCCCTGCAGCTGCTGCACGGCCGTAGCCTCCCGGCAACCGCACCGCACGAATCTTGAGCGAGAGCCCCAATTTGAAGAGGAATCCCGTCCACCCGTGTCGGCCCGAATAACCGAATGGGCTCAAGAGGGTCCAGAATCCCCGAATTGTCGCTTCAAGACGCCGAAGACGGCTCCAAGACGGCCTCCGGGAGCTCCCACGACGGCCCAAGAGTCCCCCAAGAGGACTCCCAAGAGCGCCTGCAGAAGCAAAAGTGGGACCTTGCCACTGGAGCCTTGAGTGGAGCTCCCTATGGGGCCACGCAACGCTGTCCCTGGGTGGCGGTGACGCATGCGGACCCTGCCACTGGAGCCTTCGGTGGAGCTCCCTATGGGACCACGAAACGCTGTCCTGGGTGGCGGTGACGCATGCGGGGCCGAACGAAAGAGGGGGATAGGGAAAGGGGGTTACGAAATCTGCTGCGTGCAGCTGGTTTCGGCCCCGCCGCCGGGCCCATTCCTCGACACATGGGCGCCTTCCAGCGCTGGGAGGCGCCAGGAAAATCAGCTACGTGAACCCCCCCTTGGCTATCCCCCCCTTTCGCCCGTCCCGACCGTGGAACTGTATACTCATGGCGATACACGTGGCACTGCATACTCATGGCGGTACACGTGGAGGAAGCGCCACACGAGAGCCCCATGTTGGGAAGGCACCGCCCACCAGCAGTGCAGCCTGGGGGGATCTGAGGCTCTGGACCGTGAGCGGTGAGGAGGACGGGCGAGACGCCAGGTCTGCCCGACCGGCACGCATGGTGGTGCGAGAGGGAGGAGCTGCTCATGAGGAAGAAGAGTGATAGGAAGGAGGAAGAGAGGGGAGGTGGGAGGGAGAAAGGGGAGGGGGGAGGGGAGAAGGGAGGAGGGAGGGAGGGGAGGAGGGAGGGAGGAGCACTGAGGAGATCCTCCCTGCTTCTCGAGGAGAGGCAGGGACATGGAGCAAGTCGCGTGGATCAGCGACGGGCCCCGCTCCCACACGACGTCGACGCGCTTCGCCGCCAGATCGGGCGGCATTGGCCTCTCGTTTTGAGTAGGGGATCGACAACTGACTTGAGTTACCAGAGAAGTAAAGTGCTTGGACGTGGAATCTTCAACAACATGCCGAATGTTCGCTCATCTACGAACGCTCTACGTATGTCCTGTGGATCGGACGAGGACACAATCCGGGGTACATCAATTCTGTCGTCGCTCCCCTCCTCGATGGTTTCTGGGCAGACGTTCCCCTATCCGTGGAAAAGCCGCCCACTCGCCAGATGCACGGATTCGTAATCCATGTTGGCGTAGCCAGCCGTCCGACGATCTGGTTCTTCCGATGCGCGGCCCCGAGGTCCCGACACCCTCCCTGGGGCTGGTTCTCCGCCCCAGACCCAGCCTTGCTGGCCCGAGAACCGGCCCGGGGGGCCGGCATCGAAGCGGCATGCCCAGACTGAGAGGCTCACAGGATCGTCGGAGATCCGAGTGTGCCCGAGCGTCGCCCCCCCCCCCCCCCGCCTCCGGCCCCCCGCCCTCCGGCCGGGAGGCGGGAGAGAAGCTGACCACCCTCGTGCAGGACCCCGCCCCGGCGTCGCCCCGCCGCTGCTCGCCGAGCCCGTTCCGCTGCTCGCAGGGCGCCCACTCGCAAACGGCAGTAAAACGTGCTTGCCTCGATGTCCGAAGAAGTATAAGACCACATAAACATAAGCTTTTGGGCGCTCCGCGCGGATTTCTTGGATCCGCGCTGGACCCCCCCCTGGCGCGCTCCGCGCGCAAGGAGCGAATCCAAGAGATCCGCGCGGAGCGCTAAAAGTTTCTGCTTACGTGGTTCTTTCTCTCTTCTGGGGGCAGGGCATCGCAGATCCCCCGCGGCGGGTCCAGGCCGCACGCGAGGAGTCCATTTTGCGAGCAGTGCAGCGGCGCCTGTCTGGCTGCCGGGGCTGGCCCCCCGAGAGTCCAGCGGCTGCCGGGGCCCGACGGTCCTTCGGAGTGGAGTCCGTCGGAGGGGCCCGCCGCGGCGGCCCCGCGGCGGCGGCCTCGGGGCGCGGCCTTCTGAGGCCGTGCGGTGGCCTCGTGGGGCGGCCGTCGGGGCCCCATCGGAGGCCCGCGGCGGCCGTCGGCGGGTGCCCTGGGGGCTGGCTCGCTCCATCACGAGGGGGACGAGAGGGGGAGCGTGGGGCGAGGAGGAGGACGAAGAATGAGTGGATGAGGAGGAGGAGGAGGAGGAGGAGGAGGAAGAGGAGGAGGAGGAGGAGCAGGAGGAGGAGCAGGAGGAGCAGGAGGAGGAGGAGGAGGAGGAGCCAGAGGAGGGCCGAGAAGGGGGTGGAGGAAGGTCCTGGATCCTGGAGGTAGGAAATCCGTCGTTAGCCATCGGCTCCAGGCCGGTCCCTGCTTCCTTCTGCCCCTCTTGCTGATTTCAAACCGGCGCCAGCGGAGCGGATCCTTGCCGCGGGGAGACAGCCGCGCGCGGTGCCCAGCTCGGCCGGGTGCGGCTGGGCGGATCGATCGGCGGGCCCAGGCGCGTGAGCACGCGCGCGCTGCTGCGGACCGGCTAGTTCACGGCGTTGCGCGCTGGCTGTGCAGGAGTGCGTTCTGGCATCCAAGCGCTCGTGGGCAACAGCGATGTGCTGAACAGGGCTCTCGCGGGGTGCCGCCACCTCCTCGCCGCTCTGCTCGAGGGGCGTCAACCACCCTTCATCGACAAGCTAAGTAGAAATGTGGCGTCGCACTCGACGGCTGTTGGCGTAAATTTGAGGAATGCGTCGCTATCGCAGTCAAATGCAGCGCAGAAAGGTCCACGACTGGACAGTTTGTATCGCTTTATCGACAGACATCGCACACCAATGCGTTGCGCTCTGGGGCCCCGCCCTTGTCGCCTGGGATTGGTAGCTGGGAGCCGCTACCCGAGGCGCCCGAGCGGATACGCAGTCTGGGCGGCCTGCGGTGCACGTGTGGTGCGATTGTTTTCTCGGATTGTTGTGATTGCCCGCTCGGGTGCCTCGCCACATCGGTACTCCGAGGATGCCGAGTGGAGCTGCTTCCTTGCAGGCGGCGGGCCAGCTCGAGAGGGCAGCCTTGCGGTCCACCGCCTCCTGCCCCCACTCTGGAAGCCACGCTGTGCCGCCGAAGGTGGTACTGAACCATGTGCAAGACTTCGTGCGCGAGGCCTCGGTACGGATGGCGCTGTGGGCACCGCCGGGGTCTCCTCGCCAACCGTTCTTCCTTCGGCGCGACTTCCTGGGCCATGCCCGAGATGTTGGGAAATTGTGTTTGAGATGGGCATGGAGCGACTCGTCGCAGCCATTTGTTCGCAAGCGGGTGCGGCTTGACTCCCGAACCAGGAACGTTTTTATGTTGGGCATGACGGAAAGCGGCGCCTCGCTGGGGTGGCATCGCCGTCAGGATATGCCAATTACCCACAGCAGTGATGTTTAATCGCGTCAGAATGGATGCGGTGTACGTGTGTTATATGTGCCCTGCTTCCGGGTGCGCATTTCTTGGCGTGAGCGTGCCGTTTATGCGCATGAGTTTGCCAAGTGTGCGTGATGGGATGGGCTCGTGTGCGGCGCTGTGGTTGTTACACCCGTCCGCGGAGATACGGTTCGTGTGCGGCGCTATGCACGGCCACCCGTTCGCGGAGTCTATTGCTGCATTGCTTTTGATTCGGCATCTCGTTCTACCAAGGATTGGGCAAAGTTTCGCGAGAGCCACGAGACAATTGTAGTAGCAGGGTGACAGTCGAGGAGGGCGACCGAGGAATAATACTTAGGATGAGGATGAGATGGGGTCCCCCTGATGCTCCTGCTCCTGCCTCGCCCCATTACCAACACGATCCTCCAACATCTGCCGCTCCGCTCCTCCTCCCCCCATCCCGCCCATATTTCCCCTCGTTTTCCTCATCATCATCATCAGCAGCATCATCATCATTATCATCATAATCATCATCAGCATCATCATCATCATCATCATCATCATCATCATCATCATCAGTATCATTATTCTCTTTCTCCCCCTCATGTTCCTCCTTCTCCTGTCCTCATGACACATCTTGTTATCTTGCTCCTCACCCCATCATAGATGTATTGCTGCTTCTGCTGCAGTAATGGTGTTGGTGCTGCTCTTCCTCCTCATCATCATCTTCCTCTTCCCTTTCTGGTCCCTGCCAGGGCGGACACGTTGACAGCGCACGTTCGTTATATCCCTCATGAAGGGAAGCGGTGCTCATACCCTTTCGCGTGTTGCATATCCTTGCTGTCTCTTGGATCGTTTTGTCATTCCCTCATCTCCGCCCTTCCTTTGCTGGACACGAGCGTCGCTCCGCCTCATTCTCCTGCTCCTACCCCCTTCCCATTCATCCTCGTATACTTGCAACAAAAGGCCCTCGTCGCGAAGTGATCGATCTCACCTATGACTCCAGTTGGACCTCGAGAGCGAGCAGGCTGCGAAGCGAAGGCTCGTGTGCATTGTGGGAAACGCTGAGTAATGAACGAGAGGGCGCTTCGGGCCCAGGCCGAACGCCGACCACCTATAGGTTTCTTGAGCCATATCCTAGTCTAAAGGACGGCCTAGAAACCAGAGCCGCTCCTGAGGCCAAAGTGGTCTTCATCGCAACGTCTCGACGTTCGTCGACGCCAGAGGGGGTGTCCCCGTCCTGCTCGCCCGCTTCCCCCTCATGCCCGCGAGCTGTCCTTCTGCCTTCCCAAACGTACCGTCTGCCGCCTCCCTCGCCGCAGTGATCCGTCGACACCGCCAGTCCCCGCCGAGGAGCGCTGGTCGGCGGTCCTGGCGTCGTCGTTGGTGGCGCCGTCGTGGCCACTGTGGCCCGTCGTCGTCTCGGCCGCGACCGCGGCGCGCCCTGGGCGCGATGCGAGCGCGCGGGCGCCGAGGAGAGCTCCGGCGCGGCCTTCCAGATCACGGTGGAGATCTTGGGCAAGGTCGCGGGTCGCGCTCCCCCGGAGTTCCAGCGCCACTGCTTGGTCTGCTGCTCGTGCTGTGTTACTCGTGCGTGTGCGTGTGCGTGTGTGTGTGTGTGTGTGTGTGTGTGTCTGCGCTTCTGTTGCCGCTTGCGTCCTGTGTTCCATCTGCACAGCCGGGTGGGAATTGATGTAGGTGTCGCCCACCCACGTAATCGCTGCGTTGGTATTCAACAGGCCGCCGACGAAAAAAGTGTGTGTGTGTGTGTGTTTGTGTGCTACGCCCCATCGCCGCGCGCGGGGCCGCGAAGCCAAGAAACATCTGTGTGTGTGTGTGAGTGTGTGTGTGTGCGAGTGAGTGACTCTGTGTGTGTGAGTGTGTGTGCGTGTGTCTGTGTGTGAGGGCGTGTGTGCGGGTGCCTGCGTGCGCCCGTGTGTGCGTGCGTGCGCTCTTGCGTTTGCTTGCGTGTGTGACTGTGTGTGTGCGGGTGTTGTGTGTATTGTGTGTGTGCGCCTTGTTCTTTTTTGGGGGTCGCGCTTGCGCTTCTATGAAAGGGTCTTGGGGGGTAGCCCGCGCCCCGGAGAGGTTAGGCTTCTGTTCGCGACGGGGGACCCACGGAGGCCCCACCCTGAGCCTCTCGGTGATGCAGCAGGGGCTCCGGAGGTCTCCGGAGTCGTCTTGAAATCCTGCCAGGAAAGTCTCAGCACGTTGGTGCCCACCGACGACGACGACGACGACGACGACGACAGCGGCGACGGCGGCGGCGACGGCGACGGCGACGGCGACGGCAACGACGACGACGACGACCACGACCACGACGACGACGACGACGACGACGACGACGACGACAACGACGACGACGAACGACGACGACGACGAATGATGACGACGACGACGGAGACGACGACTGTCACGTCGACGACGACGACGACAACAACGAGGACGACGGCTGCGACGACGGCGACGACGGCGACGGCGACCACGGCGACGACGACGACCAGGAGGAGAACAGGAGGCGGGAGGCAGCGCAACGAGGGCCAGAAACTAAACTGTCACAGCCCGAGCGCTCGAGCGAAGATCCGCCATCGATCCAGATTCGGGCAGGAAGGGAGGAGGGGAGGAGGAGGGGAGGAGGAGGAGGAGGAGGAGGTGAGGAGGAGGAGGAGGAGGAGTAGGAAGAGGAGGAGGAGGAAAAGAGGAGGAGGAGGAGGAGAGAGGAGGAGGAGAAGGAGGAGGAGGAGGACGAAGAGGAGGAGGAGGAGGAGGAGGACAACGAGGAGGAGGAGGAGGAGGAGGAGGAGGAGGAGGAGGAGGAGGAGGAGGAGGAGGAGGAAGGGAGGAGGAGGGGAGGAGGAGGAGGAGGAGGAAAAGGAGGAGGCGGAGGAGGAGGAGGAGGAGGAGGAGGAGGAGAAGGGAGGAGGAGGAGGAGATGGAGGCGGACGAGGCGGAGGAGGAGGAGAAGGACGAGGGGGAGGAGGAGAAGGAGGAGGAGGAGGAGGACCAGAGAAGAGGAAGAGAGAGGAGGAACGGGAACGGGAACTAAACAGACGCGAAGCGTCACAACAGTCAACATTTGCTCCTTGCACCTCCAGTCTCTGGAGAAGCGATCGAGGATCTCACGGCGCTTTGGCGTGAGCCTGACATCTCTGCAAATCTCACCCTGGATTCGAATCCGATCGAACCCCAAACGCGAGCACACACGCGCTTAGTCCTCGGGGACTTGGCGTCGCTCCGACGTGTGCATTTTTCTCGGCGAGGGCCACCGAAGAGCCTCCAGGATCCTCGGGCGAGAGAGACACGTACGACACCGGAGCATGCTGCAGGGGCAACTGGACGCCCGAGCGACGGCAAGGGGGGGGGCCAGCCTGGCGGCGTGGTGCCCCAGAAGGGGAGGGGGGGGGCGCCGCGAGCGGGGGAGGCGGCCTCTTCGGGAGGCGCCGCCAGGGCTCCCTCGAGCGGGGGGGGGGGGGTCGGCGCGCCGGGCGCCTCGGGCGGCGGGAGGCCTTCCCAGAAGGCTCCCCCGGGGAAGCCCTTTGCGGGAGCGGGCCCACTGGGACCCCTCCGATCGCCGAGCGCGACGCGGTGGCAGCGTCTTGGGCGCCTGTGTTCGGTCCCCCCGCGGACCCCAAGGAGCTGCGCACCGAAGGTCGCTCTCACCCGGGGTCACTCGCTGCGTGCGGCCGACCGAGGGGATTCCGGGAAGGCTGGGGAGAGGAAGAGGGACGTACAGCTGGCACCAGCGTTAAGGATGTTCTTGATAATGGAGGGGGTACCCTTGGCTTTTGATGGTTTGGCTTTCCCCTGGGGACGTTATCCTTGATGGGAATCTCCATAGGGCCCTGGTCCCAGGGCGGAGGGGCCCATGTTCTTGATCCACGTTCTTGTGACCTTGTTTCGACCGTACACGTACATTAATCCACGTTTGGCTCGAGAGTGCGCAGTGCGCCAATGTTCGTACCATCGATGCTGGTCTCGCGGACTGGGGGGCTGTGTTCATGCACGTGATTTGGGAAAGCCAAACGGTACCAATATCACTACTCCCCGGACCTCTACCGGGGTGCGTCCTGACCACGATTTCGAGGCGAATCCAGCGATGGCGACGAGGGTCTCCTTGGAGGCCCAAGAGGTAGAAAACGAGGCAAGATTAGCAGTACGGCTACCTTTCCTCCTCCGATGATTGGGCGCGTACGTCATCGGTGGGCTCCCGGAAGGCCTCTCTTGGGGCCCAGGGAGGGGGGCTTCTCCGCCCCCCCCCGCCCTCTTAGGAAGGCCGCCCCCCTTTGCGCAGCCCCTCGTAGTGCGCGGCGCCGCATAGATGGGGAGGGCGATGCTCGTCTTAGTCGTTCACGTCCCTCTACAGGAGTATTTAGAAATCGTGAAACATATCCTGGGGCGATGTTTTCTATGACTGTTTGCTACTCCTGCATCTTTGTGGTGATCCTTCTATACGTTATCTTCCAACATCCGCCAGTAGGAAGACATGCCCAGCCTAACCCTTGTCGTGGCGCCGGGGGCCTGGCGTCCCCGCTCCCCTGCAGCCGCCGCGGGCCGCGCGCGCGCGCGGCGCCCTGGGCGGGGCTCCGCTCTCCCTCCCCTCCTGCCACGGCCCGCGCTCGAGGAGTCGGCGCAGGAGGAGGGGTCCCGCCACGGCAGGGTCCTGCGGCGTTGGCACACCTGCGGCGCCGGCGAAGGCGCTCCAGGCTGAGTTCTGCGACGCGGAAGCACCGATGGACACGGCAGCGCCGCCCGACCCGACGGGATTCCACCTGGAACGGCCGAGGGCGCGATCGATGCAAGGTTGACCGATCGACGCGGCGTCAGAAATCGTTGCGCGCGTCGACGCCGCACGAACCTACCGTACCCTCCCCCGCCCCCCCGGGAAGGCCAGGAAGGGAGGGAATCTGGCATCAGTCTGTCGACGAACCTGGGTCCGTTTCAGTGTCAGGAGGAGTGGGGAAGGATGGAATCTGGCATCAGTCTGTGGACGAATCTGCTGCGGACGGGAAGGAGGAGACGAAGGAGGATCGCGGGCGACGCGGGCGACTTCGGCCCCAAACACCAAATTTCAATTTCCTCCCCCCCCCCCGAAAAGCCAGGCCTTGTAGGAAGGGAGGGGGGGCAACTCGGGGATGCACCCCCAGGGACCCCCCCCCCAGGCTGGACGCCCCCCCTATATCTATATATATATATATATACACGTATGCCGCCGTTTCTTTGGCATGTTTGCCCGGTCGAGAGACCACGGCCGCCGACGACTTGATTCGATGCGATTCGATTCGCCGGCTGGGGCCGCGACTTCGCCTCGATCCGTTTCGGCTCGGACCCCTGGCAGCGGCCGGGGCCCAGTGGAGCCGGGGGCCCTGGCGCCAGCCGGAGCCAGGGGCCGCGGCCCGACTGCGATGCGCTTCGGAGCGATTGGCGGGCCGTCCGATCCGTTTCCCATCCGATCCGAGTTCGCGATTCGATCCAGCTCAGGCCTGGAGGCTCCTCGGGGGTGGACAGAACTCACAGCCCCGAATCATCAGGGATAACTCGGGTCAGGGATAACTCGGGTTCGTTTTCCGGGAATCCAAACCCGAGTTACCCCGGACCCGAGTTACCCCGGATAACTCGGGCGTCCAGAGCCCCGAATCATCAGGGATAACTCGGGTCAGGGCTAACTCGGGTTCGTTTTTCGGGAATCCAAACCCGAGTTACCCCAGACCCGAGCTACCCCGGATAATTCTGGCGCCCAAAGAACCCCCAACAGTGACACGTCGATTAGTGAATTGTCCGTTTTCGGTTCTCGAGAGGGCTTCCGCGGCCGTTATCTTCCAGGCTTGCGCCCGCCAGGTTTGGGCCCGAGGTCGTTTTCACTAAACCACGTTTTGCTAAAGGGAGGTCTGTCCATCCCCGAGCTCCCGCAAAATCGGGGACTGGGTTCGCCATACAGTACGTGCCTCCCGTGAGAGGATCCCCTTTCCCTCCCCCTCGTCCTCCTGCTCCTCCCGCGGGCGCGCGGGAGCGCGTGCTGGATCAGGTCGGGGGGGGGGAGGAGGATAGGCGAGGAGGCGGGGTTTACGCGGTGCCATCTGGGGAAGACAAGGAACGGATGAGCACGCTGAGTGCAAAAAAAACATCAGCGCGCATCCGGGGTACACGCTATGCACCCACCCAAGGTACACGCTAAAGGTGCGAGGGCTGATCTCGTGATCGGAGGGGGGTCAACAAGCAAGCTTCACCTCGAGGGGCGAGATGCGTACCCTCGAGGGGCCCATCATCACCACCATCATCATCATCATCATCAGAAGCAGCAGCCCCATCATCATCAGCACCATAACCGCCATCACTGCCTGCCGAATGCGACTCTCTCAAGAATTTACCTGATGAGTTCTGGTCGCGACGGTTGCGACAGTGGTGATGACGAGCCCGAGTCCGAGCTGGGGAGTGCGAAGGGAGTGGATGGCGAGCCTTCCCCCTCCCCCCCTTGGCCAGCTCGTGTCATCCGTCATCGTCGCTGGCGGATCTCGGGGGCGTGATTCGGTCGT